TTCCACGGACCCATGTGACGTGGCCCCGTGTTATCTTATTCACCTCATGTCCTATTTACCACTCCTGCTCCTGCTTCCTCTTCTTAGCGACACCAGCCTCCTCACCGTTCTTTGAAAAGTCAGGCACACTCCTTCCTATCTCAGGGTATTTGCTATTCCCTCTGCCTGGAGTGTCCTTCCTTCCAGATTTCTGCATGGTCTACTTTGTTTGGGTCTTTGCTCAAATACCAATCTTCTCAGTAAACCCTTTTTTGTTACCCTATTTAAAATTACAGTGTTGTCATTTTTACATTTCTCTGGTTTGTTTTACTTTTTGGCACATAATATAGTTTGTATAACACATTATTTATTTATATTATTTATATTGTTTATTATCTGTCTCCCCGGTAGAATTCAAGCTCTGTAAGGGAAGAAACTTACGTTTCCTTTTTATGTTTTGTATCCTGGCCCAAGTAAGGGCTCAGTAAATTATACATATAAAATGAACAAAAACACAATTTTGGTGCTTACTTTAGCAGCACAAAAATTGGAACCATACAAAGATCAGCATGGTCCTTGTGCAAGGATGATATGCAAATTTGTGAAGCGATATTTTTGTGGTAATCATTTCACAATGTTATATGTATTATCAAAACATCACACTGTACACCTTAAACATACACAATTTTTATCATTTTCATCTCACTAAAGCTGGAAAAAATAAGTAAAAAATACAACCAGAAAATAAAACACCCCACAATTTTGAAAACATGGATGAATTTTTGGAAATACAGAAAAATGCCATAATACAACAAAAAGGAAAATGTGAAAGGACAATTAAAAATTGAAAAGGTAATAAAAGTTCTTTCACATAAGTCCCAGTTCCAGAGGGCAAACTTTCAAGGAACATACGACCTCTGTCTAAGTTTTTCCAGAAAACAGAAAAGAGATGCTACCTCATATTAGTAAGAAATAATCTTGACCCCTAACCAGGTAAAGGCAGTAAGTCATAAACTAATTTATCTTATATATTAGATAAAACTCAATCCAACAGTATATTAAAAAAATAACATACCATAATTAAGTTGGGTTTATCCCAAGAGGGAAAGAAAAAACACCAGAAACTCTATTACTGTTATTATTCAATAATGAAGTGAAGGAGAAAAATCACGTAGACATTTCAATAAAAGCATTACAATTGTTTAATAAAATTCAACACTTATTTATGATTAAGAAAAAAATGATTAGGACACCTTCCTTAATTAAAACTATTTACCAAAATGAACAAAAATATTTAAAGAAGAAACCTTAGATGTATTCCCTTGAAGATCAGGAAAAAGACAAAAATGCCAAATTACTGCTATTCTTCAATATCTCTATATAGATCTGGAGAGGACGAACTAAGATCAATACCCAGAAGTTAAAAGAAAGGCTCAATATAAAAAGATCTTTACACCAATTACAGCAGTTTAAAAAGAGAAAAAGGTTACTCTGTGAAGGGGTTAAACCAGGATTCCTGGAAATGGTCAAGAAGCTGGATGATCAACAGAATGTCACAGGCGAGTCTTGCAACAGACAGAAGCCTAGACCAAATGCATTTAGGGTTCTGAGATTCTCTGATTTTTAAGTCATCTATGTGGGATGTTAATTAAGATAAAGCTGAACTTATATCTATCAAAAATATTTATTTTTATCAGAATTTGATAAATGTAGGCATCACTTCCCACAAGATAGTTGGTGGGAAATTTGAGACAATACCCACTGTGCCCTTTTTAAAAAGTGCTTTACTGGGGAAAGAGGTCAAAGTGGACTTTCTCTTCCACTTTCAGGATTCTGACAACGTAGTGGTCTGAACCTTATACTCCTCTACACTTTTCTAAGTGTCACTGTCATGGAATGGCCTACTGTTAGTGAAACCACCACCTGGCTGAATAGATTTCTTCTCCTACCTCCACAGAAATAGCGGTATGTGGACATTCTGGCAGTTGTCCCACAGCACAGACTAAGGAATGATTCCTACAGAAACTGGCTTTAATTCTCCTCAAATTAAAAAATGTGGGGAAAGTGTAGCTACAGGTGAAAATCCGTGTTGCTTTTGCTACGCAGACAGTGTGGTACATAAAAAGGGCATAAGCTTTGAAGTCTGAGTGATCGGTGTTGGAATCCTGCTTCAGCCACCAGCTTTTGTGACCTTGACTGAGTTACTTCAATTCTCTGAACCTCAATTTTACCCGGGGAAACGAAGAAGAAACTTACCCTGTACAGTTATTGTTAAGAACAATGTATGGATATCACTTAGTATTGGGACAAGCTTGTGGTAGTCATTCAAGAAATTGCTTTTTTCTCTTCCACAAACAGGCTGACTGGTCCTACCTTAAATTACAACCACAGATGTCAAAAGGGCAACATTTAACTTACCCTATATTAAAAAATACTATTTTACACCTTGTTTTTCTTCTGGTCCTATAGCCTCTGCATGATTACATTGCCTTGTAAATCTTAAAGAAAATGGAAGCACACAGAAAATCCCTTATCCTGTACCACCAAATCCACCAGTCAGCCCTCACCTATGTCAGCACTTTCTGCCGTCCCTCAGACAATACAGTACCCCTAGCTTCTGTCTACAATTAATTCCCCCATAGCACTTTGGGGGGATCTATCCTTTTTCACCTTCAAGAACTTTGTTTTATCAGTTGCCTCCTTCACTACCATATCATCCATTTCTTCGTCTCAGTTAGACCATTCCCATCGTAACAAACATGCTCCGGAAGTCACTAGACACATGTGGCTGAATACATAACAATGAAATGAAATTTAAAAATTAATTGTGCCAGCTGCACTTTAAGCGCTCAATAGCCACATGTTACTGTGACTTCCATAGTAGACAGTGCAGATTATTGGGGAAAGTTCTATGGGATATCACTATTCTAAAATATTCCATTTTAAAAACAAATACCCTCTTCCCCTGATACTACATCCATAGCCAAGCTATCAGCTCATTTCTTTGCTCCCTTTAACAACTCTTCTTAAAAGAGTTGTCTGTAACCATTATCTCTACTTCCCCAATTTTCACTTTTTCCTCACTCTACTCAAATCACTCATCTATCCAACTCTACTGAAACGGCTCTTACCAACATCGTTCATTATGTTCGTGATGCCAGTCAGTGATGGCTTCTCCGTTCCTACCTTAACTGCCTCACAAAACTATGTGGCCCAGTTGACAGCTTCCTCCTCCTTCCCTCTGCGATGCTACAGGCACTCTTCCGGTTTCCCAGCTCCCTAACTGACTTTCCCTTTCCTGGCTTTCCCACCAGTCCTCGAAATCTGGAGTTGAAAGTAGAGCTAAAAGAACAGAGCTTAAATGCTATTCCTATGTTGATGACTCAAAACTCATTCTAAAATAGTTCTAATCTGTCCCTAAAATGGCAGATTTGCATATCCAACTAGGTAACTGACATTTCCTCTACAAGTATAGTAGGCATTTCAATTTTAACAAGTCCAGAACAGAGCTCTTGATTTGGGGGGAATTTTCCATCCTCAAACGTGCATCAACATAAGCCTCAGTCTCAACAAATGGTATTGGTACGAGTCAACACTTTTTCACTCCTCTGCTAATATAATCGAACTCCAAAAATGTATCCAAAATCTTTCTGTATCTCCATCTTCACTGCGACCACTGGAGTCCAAGCCACCATTTTCCCACTTTAGCCTCATAACTGGTTTTCTTTGCTTTCATTTTCCCTAGAATTGGCTCTCGAATAGCAAGCAGAAAAATCTTTTAAAAACTTTTTAAAGTTTTGTAATGTTCTTCCTGCCTAAAAGCTTTCTTATGCTTCCTGTTGAATGAGAATTAAATCTAAACCTCTTAGTAAAACCAAAACCTCTATATGATCTGGCCCCTACTATTCTCTCCAAACTTTCCAGCCATTCTTCCCTTAGTTATTCTGCTTCAGCTAAGAGGCCTTTTTTTCTATTCTTCAAACACACTCAATTAATCCCACCCACAGAAGTTTTGTGTTAGCGTTTTCCTTTGCCTAGAGTACTCTTCTCTAGGGTTTTCATTTGGTTGACTCCTTGTCATGAAGATTTCAATTTCTTTGACTATGACTTGTTCAGTACATCTAATGTCACCATCCATGTCTATCACTTGGCTTTGTTTTATTTCTATTATAGTATCACTGATATTTTATTTATTGATTTATTCTCTAGTGCCCGTGTTTCTCCACTAGAACATAAACTCTCTGAGAACAGGGACACGTCTGTCTTGTTTACCATTACATCCTGAATACCTTAGAAGAGTATCTGGCACAAAGTGGGAGCCCAAAAAATATATGTTGAATAAATGCTAATATCTGCTATTCGCATCTATACTTGAAAAGAGCTGCTCAATTTCTACACAAGGACAATTTCTACCACATTTTGTTTAGTAAAGTTCAATATTTTCCAATGATTTTATTCTGGTTTGTATAAATGGCACTCATGGTCAGCATTCAGTCTTGGAAGAAATACAAAATTACACACACATGCTACCCATATTTATAAAAGTTAAAAACCCTAACAGCTTGGAAGCAACATAAAATCCAATGGTTTGGAAGCTTTGAAACTTACCCTCTGATAGCACTGAGGCAGAGTATTTTCCAACAGGGGAGGAGTTCTCTGCATTAATATTCCAACAGACTCTCTTAAAAGAGGAATAACACTAAAAAGAAAGACAACAAATTTTTTAACAATCCCATCCTGTAAGAAAGTAGTAATATACCTCCCAATAGTAGACTACATATAGTAAGATTTAGCTAAATAATATGAAGGAAAAAAATCTAGTCATTGTTCTCGATTTTTCATATGATCAGTAAGTTATCTAAAATAAAAGAGCTAGATAAAATGTATCAATGTATGAAAAACTAAACTTATAGTACTGAATAGTATTGGAGCATCTTAAAATCTAAACATAGCAGTCATTCAATTGTTATTTCAAATGTAACTTCAAATTGCCAGGATCTTCCAAGGTACTCTATAAAGCATATAAGGGCAACTGGTCTTTAACATTTATCAAATATTTACCTGCATTTATGTGAATAATACCATTAAGAAAAATACAAAAAAAATTTAATATGATATATATTAGTCCATTTGTCCAACATTTTTCCAACCCAATTGCATGGCAGTCTTCTTTCATTATTTAAAAAATATGGGTGCTGGATTTAACCACAGATCTGGTGAATCAGCATATCTAGTGACAGGGCCCCAAAGTCTGTATGTATTGATATAGAGAAGTCTCAACCAGAATTTGGAAATTACTGCTTCAGCCAATTTAGGTGATTAAATGCACAAAAACAATTCATAATGTAATGGTGAGGGTGTCTCTAATGCAATAATTCTCTTAACTAGCTACACATCAAATTCACCTTCGAGTCTTGTTTTCATTTCTGATTTACTGAATCAGAATCTCTGAGGGAAGGTCGAGGCATCTACGTTTTTAAAGAGCTTTCCAGGTGATTCCAATGAGTCAGAGAGGTGAGGCACTGCTCTACTCCTTGAAGTAGACTGAGAGGGAGGCCAGAGGCAGCTTCAGTGCACTTAGAGCTTAAGCCAGTGCTCTCTTTAAACTTGTAGAATCTCAAAACTTCCGAAGTAAAAGCCTGAGTATAGCTGTAGGAGACAGAGGTAAAAGGAACTACACCTTTCAAGGAAGGTAGAAGTTGAAGTATAACTTAAAAGATTGGTGGTATTTCTGACAGATGAAAAGGAAAGAGATTAACGAAGACCCAAAGGAATAGAGGCAATGCTTGTCTTGTTCACTATTATAGTCCCAAGGAGACCTAGTAAAGTGCTGGTCAGAAAGTGAGCCCACAATCAATACCTGTTGGTTAAGTGAATGATAGATATATAGGTATCAGATGTTTTAGAATACAGATTAAAGACAGGAAAAGGCCACAGGGAAGAATCAGGAGAGGGTTCCCACACTTGAAGTGAACAGTGATAAGGACGGTAACAATAGGAAGAAACAAATAGGAAAATTAAACAAATACTGAGAGAAACAGTGCTGTATAACAATATAGTGAAGAAACAGTGAACCAACAAGGACAAGCCTAGAAGATTAAAAGTATGAAGGGGATAGCAGTAGTGGAGATGAAAAGCTCAATGTTGATAGTTTAAGTCACAGTCAAGTGAAAATATTCTTCAGATAGTGATTTACGAGCAAAGAATAATCACACACCATCCTCAATTCCTTCTTCTCCCTTAAAACCCCCATGCTCTAAACCACCAAGTTCTCATGATTTAACATCCTAAATATTTCTTGACTCCATCCTCTCCCCTTCTTTCTATTACACATTTCGACAATAATCTCTATATCTTCACTTGTATCACTGTAATAGCCTCCTAAGGGGTCCCTTTGCCTCTAGTCTTGTTTCCTCAAGTCCACTGTGATCGGCAGCCTCAAAGATGGATCCCAGTGACCCCAAACTCCCTAACAGTCATGCTTTCATGTAATCCTCTCCCACTGAGCGTGGCTGGGCCAGACAGTCACTCGCTGCTAATGAAGAGTACGGCAAAAGTGACACGATGCCACTTCTAAGATTAGGTTAAAAGACTCGGCCCCCATTTCCTTCACCTTCCTCTCCTGCTCTCTTATTTGCTCGCTCAGAGCTGCCATGTTGTGAGCTGTCCTGTGGAGAGGCCCAGGGCAAGGCCTCTGGAAAGGAACTGAGACCCTCAATCTAACAGCCCAAAAGAAACAGGATACTGTCAACAACCACTTCAGTGAACTGATTCTCCCCCAAATGAGCCTTGTTAGACTGACACCGTGACTGCTGCCTGTGAGAGACCCTGAGCCAGCAGTGAGCCATGCCCAGGTTCCTGAACCAAGGTTAACTAAGAGCTAACAATGTATGTTATTTCAGCCACTAGATTGTTATATAGATAACTAATACAAGTGCTCTTTATACAGCTATTAGACTAATCTAAAACCAATATTTGACCCTCTCCCTTCCCCATTAAAAAAAATCTGTTAAAAGCTCCCTACGGCCTAGGGAATTAAGTATGAGCTCTTAAACATGGTATATTTTTGGATCTGGCCCCCTCTAGATTCACCTTCTATCATCCTTAATTCACATTTTAAGCTCTCTAAACATAAAATTACTTGTACTTTATCTTCCGCTGTTTTTTCCTTTCATGTTTTGGCTCATGCTGTAATCTCTTCCTAGAATATCCCTAAACTGCCCTTCAGTCTGGCTTCTATTTTTTCTTTAAAATCTCGAGTGTCACCCCTTTTAGGCCATATTTCCTGATCCCAAACTGTATGAAATGTGCTCTCTGTGCTCCTATTAAAAAAAACCTGTGATACCTATGGTAAGGTTAGAGGAAAGAATGGGTGGAAAGCAACTGGAAGTAGGATTAAGGATTTTGACAGTGAAAGAATAATAGTTATTCCTCTATCCAACCTGAAGATTAGTGTCTGTTTCTATCTACTGTGCTGTTATTCAATAGGTGAGGACTCCCTGTGTTTATAAAAAAGACAAAAATGATGGTATAATAGGGCACTAATAAGGTACAATTCAACCATTATGACATTTTTCTTTCCTCTCTCCATCTTCATTTCTCAGGAAAAAGAGAGGATCAGTCACAGAATGTTTTCATATACCTAACATAATTTTTATGTTTTCCTAATTTCCTTACTCTGCTTCTCAGAAAATGAGGCACAAAAATGGTTCCCCTAGAATATCTGTTTGAGAATATGAAAAAAGTGGGGGTTTGTCCATATGCCTCAAATTTAGCTATTTTGATAATTTCTTCTCCAATCTTTATCCCAAGAACTGCTAATAATGTCTAGAGACAGCTGAGGTGGAAAATGCACTCACATGGAAATCATGATACTTGGGTTCTGATTTTGTTATTAGTAGCTTTGGACAAATTGTATAACTTTGCAGAGCATCAGTTTTCACACCCACAAAATGGGGGCATGGATTAAACAAATATCTAGGCAATACCTTCCATCTTTAATATATTTTTCATTCAATAAGAAAAAATGGTCAAACTACAAGGAATATTAGAGAGAGAATATATTTGGAAATGAAAGAAAATAATGTTGTTTTTACATACTAAAATAGTCATCAAATGAGATGAGAAATACTTGGCAAAATGATTTACTCCATCATTAATTAGGTAATGTTGCAAATGAATGTATTAAGCAATCAACACAAATAAGCAATTATTGAGCACTACTATATGCTTTGCTTGGCACCAGATTTTCTAGAACCAGATAGAACCTTACTGTGGAGCTGTGGAAATGGAGGCCTAGAGCACCCAAGTAACTTGCCTAAGAACACAGCTAGTGATGAGAAAACTAGAATATTAAGACCAGGTCTTTTGGCTCCAAATTCGATTTTGAAATGTTCAAGTCAAAAAACGTTTATTGTGATGCTTACCATGTGCCAAGCATATGTTAGGCACCGAAAATAACAAGATCAGTAACACACAATACCTTATTTCAAAGGATTTCATAATTATTGAAAAAGCCTATAGTGAGTTCAATGGAAATTAGGCAACAAACAGTTATTCAGGGCCCATCATCGGGAAGAAGGCACACGAAGTTTCAAAACAATTGTAGATTATGCCTTTATCCACAGACGTTCCCACAGACTTTGGTGAACGGTTTTCTTTATTAGTATGTTGATAACTTACTTTTAAAATATACCTTTAAAAATAAAGGTAAGTGGGGAAAAAGGGAATAAAAGAGAACATGGACTCTATTGTAACAGAAGGCATACAATATGAGCAATGCTATTACTTAAGCAATAGGTATAAAATACCTTTTTGCAAACAACTTTTACAATATTTATTGTTTCAGAATACCTAGGGATAGTCTAATTTTTCCCCCCAAAAGCTAAAGCACAATAAGTAAGAGATGGTTGAATCCAATCTATAATAATCTTGAGCTCAGTCAGAAAACACTGAGAACATTCCCTTAGTACAGTCTCTTAATAAGTGACCCAGGACAGCCATCTACACATTTATCCAAAGCTTTGTACAAATTTTTACATGTATATTCCCTATGTGCTGCCACCCAAAGTATGCTACTCCCTGCTACCACCTTTGTAAAAAACAACTAGTACTTTCCTTTTTCTCCTAAAATTCACTCACATGTGGCCCTTAGTTTCTAGAATTAGTGAAAAAGTTCCAGGACCACAGATAATGCACTATTAGAACTAACAGGGGATTTAGAGATCACTCATTTTACCACTCAATTCAAGAACCATAAAGCGGAGAAACATTTCAATAAGATTAATGTTAGAAGCAAACATTTATTTTAAAATAACTAAATAAAAGACATCACAACTAATATAAGGGAATAATATAGAGAGAATGTGCTTTTTTAGTAAGGGTCAATTGAGGTACTGATTTTGCTATACTATAAAGTTTGGAATGTTGCCTGTTTAGATAGAATTTTAATAAAATTCAACAGTAGCAAGCATTTCACCACAGCACACGGATGCATCATACTAATTTTCTCCAATAATAATTTAAAAATAATGTAAGAATTGCAGCTGTAGAAGCTATAACTAGGCCATGAAACTGAAGTGGGAAGAAAGGTGCTTACTAAATCACATGATAATATGCAATTTAGAACAAAAATCAATTTCTATAATAATTTCAAAGGTCATAAAAATGTAAAAGAAACCTGTAGAAACTCTATTTTTT